CTCTTGAGGCGCCGTCTTGGTCCTTTCCTTCGCTGTTGGCACTCTGGGTGAAAACCTTCCTTCTCTTTGGCAAATGCGGCAGCGATGACATATGGAGTTGTTATCTTCTTGAGGGTGTCGTCAATGAGTGTGAGTGGTTATCGATCGATTGTGGCGGTGAATCATATGTGCTTCTCCTCGACGGCACTTTAAGGGCGTTTGGTAATGCACTCTTGTGCCTTTTTTGCGTTTTAGGAATGTTGTGTTGTGTCGTCTTTTTTTCTGGCCAGCTTTTGAGGATTTCCTTGACACCATGTATTCTTTTTGGATCGAGTGGCTTTATTTAATATAAAGCAGGGCGAGAGGCTGTTTTGAGAATAAAAAGGATAAATGCCTGACGTTGTAAAGATTAGACGGAAATGAGAACATGATAACATTACAAACTACGATCCACAACATTAGCCTCTATTTTTTTTTTGTTTCCTGGACTAAAGTATGTTAAGGTGTGATCAGTACTCTGTTTCATTAACCCGGATAAAATCGAGGGTGGTTGTTTTTAACACGTGTTTTTTCTCAAGAATATAAAAGGGTTCCTAACAATCTTGAAAATGGGCAAAGGGTTCCGCATTCAACTCTATCCGGCCGGCTAAGCTCTGGCATCAACCTCTGTTTGTGACACTGTTGCACGCAACTGATGTACGAGCCGTGTTGGCAACTTAAGTCTACGTCGGCGCTGCATATTCCTCCGGAATAATTATTCAGGTTTCACCGGTCAGAACACTGACCAGCCGTTCGTTGCTGTTCTTCACCGGTCAGAACACTGACCAACCGTTCGTTGCTGTTCCTGATATACTAGTTGTAGGCTGAACTGCAAATATCTGTTCCTCAACCAGTTATATGATCGACACATTAATCATGTGAACCTCCCGTCAAAAAGGCGAAAAACCGCATAAATAAGTCCGCGAGCTCCCGTTCGGCGACACCAAGCTGCAGATGAGGGCATGGCGTTTGGAAGGCCATGCTGAGCACGTCGACCTCGGCCACCACGTGCGCCTCTGCCTCGAGGGGTTGCCGCTGTATGCTTGGGATGAAGAGGCGGTCGCCAAGGCCGTCGGCTCCGGCTGCTCGCTGGACTACATCGAGCCAGCTTCCAAGCTCAAGACGACGACCAAGGCTCTGGCCTTGTGGGCTTGGACGCCATGCCCAAGCAAGGTGCCAAGAGTGAGCTGGATCACCCTCCCTGCACGCAACGGTGGCGCTCCGGTGTATGGCCGCAAGGGGCTGGAGCATCGGGTCCTTGTCCACCTCGACATCCATGAAGATCCATCCTCGGGCAGAGTGGTGTCCAGGCCGCACCCCTGGATATCAAACGTCGTCGACGGGGAGACCTTGGCTCGTGACAGGCGCGAGCGCATCTCTCGCCCTGTCCAGCGCGACCGCCATGACCGCCATGGCCGTGACGACGAGGAAGACCGTGGCCGCGGGCGCGACGGCCGGGGCTCGTCCAGAGGCGGGCAAGGCTGGGGCGACCGCATTCGCCGGAGCCTCTCCCGTGAGCCGCGCGACGGGCAGCGCGACAACGACAGGGAACGCCGTGATGGGCGTCACGATGGTCGTCGCCGGGAAATCCCTGACCTTCCCGTCGTCCTTGGCGCCGCTCCGGTGCTTCTTGGCTCTGGCTCCTTGAGCGCTACTACTGTGCGTGCCAGGGAGCTGGAGCCCCTCCACCCCACCACGCCTGCTACGGCTGCTGTTGGCGCGCGTGGCCGTAGTCCGGTCAGGCAGTCGCGCCCGGCCTCTGCATGGCGCATATCCAGGGAAGCACGCCCTCCACCGGCGTCGCCACCGCTGTCTCCGACAACGGTGCTCCGAACCCCGCCAGCGCCGAAACGTGACGAAGCACATGCAGCAGCAGTGGCATCCCAGGTCCTGAGCCCGGTGCTCATCGAGCTATGTTCGCCAGCCACGATGCAGCGCCCGCTCCTTGACATCTCCCCGCTACGGCCTTCAGGCTTTGAAGCATCCCCAACCCCGCCACTCCAGTGCAACGGCAACCTGCAGCGAACCCCTACGCCACCCCGTGCTCGCCCCCATGATGCTAGGCACGACCTGCCGGCGGGCCTGGCTGAGCTCATTGTGCCCTGCCTTGAGCTTCCGGCTACGCTCTTCTGCCCAAGGCAGCCGGCGGTCCTGCCATCTGCAGCCACGCAACCTCCCCCTGAGATGCCCTTGGCATCTCCAAGGCCAAGCCCTCCAGCGGCCCGTCGAAAGACTTTGGCGGGCATGAGAATCTCCAAGGAGGGCGGCATCTCTCTGCAACGGACCCGGCGACCTTCCAGCCGCACGCCGGCTGCTCCGGTGGCAAAGGTGGCCGAGCGCCTGGTTTGCCGCAGCCTGGGCATAACCAAAGATGGTCAAGATGTAACTGCTTCGATCCTGGAGGCGTTCACAGAGAGATTCAAGGAGCAGCTCCCTCCTGAAGTGATTGTGGCCATGAGGGACTTCTTCAAGCTTGATGACAGTTCTATTAGCGCTGCTGAGGATGCGCTGATAGACCATGGTGGTGCTGCGGCATTAGACTCTGTGGGGCTGGAGCAAGACGGCCAGGGATCGGAGCCGGCGATCGCTTGAGCGGATACTACCTGTAGTGCCTGTGTTAGAGCCTCAATGGTTGTCATGTTAGTAAACCAATCTGATGCTTACAAGGGTTCTGTTGCTGCTACTAGTTTGTATGCGTCTAGTTTGTACCTCTTCCCTACACTCCATGGGTTATGTAACTGGGGCTGTGTCCCTCACGGGTGTGTGTTTGTTTTTCAAATTTGGCCATGGGCCATGTACTGCGGTCTGGGATCCCACCTTGTTTGTGTTGATGTTTTATCCCATGGTAGTCCAAGGGCAACCCCTGTGCACCCATGACAGTACAACCTATCAATACCCTCAACTGGAACGTGAGAGGGCTTAATTGCCCGGACCGTAGAGCAACTGTCAAGGCTACCATCACTAGCACCTCTTGCCACTTGGTCTGTCTCCAGGAGACTAAATTGAGCAACGTTGACAGTTTCATTGCTGCTTCTCTTGGCGGAAATAGGCTTCAGGGTTTCGCGCAACGCCCGGCCTCCGGAACCAGAGGTGGAATTCTTATGCTATGGGATGACAACCTTCTTGAGATTACCGACATCGCCACCTCAACCTTTTGTCTCTCTGCCATGGTGCGGATTCGTGCTTCTGACTCCTCCTTCAAAATCACGTCTGTCTATGGCCCCACTGACAACGCCTCCAAAGATGCCTTCTTTGCGGAGCTGCTTAGCCAGAAGCCACCCTTGGGCGTGGCTTGGCTCGCCACTAGCGACTTCAACCAAATTTACCGTGCCAGGGACAAAAACAAGTGCAATGTTAACCGCAGCAGAATCAACCGCTTTCGTGCCGCTTTGCAATCTTGCGAGCTCAAGGAGATCCATCTCCAGAATAGGTGCTTCACCTGGAGCAATGAGAGGACAAATCCCACCCTATGCAAGCTTGACTCATTCTTCTGCAATGCTGAGTGGGACACCACCTTCAACACCCACGTGTTGCACGCCTTGTCCTCATCCCTCTCCGACCATTGCCCCCTTTTGCTTGCTGACGACAAAGGGCCCAAAAGGCCGCGGTCTTTCAAGTTCGAGAATTTCTGGACCTCCCTTCCGGGCTTCCACGAAGTCGTTCAAAAGGCTTGGACTGAGGGCGTGCCACACACGGAGCCTTATCTCATTTTGCATCACAAGCTCAAGAAGACTGCGCTTCGTCTTATGGCATGGAGTAGAAGCCTTTTCTCAGCAGCCAATATTCACTTCCATGCGGCCCTTCTCGTGATCCTGAGGCTAGACATTGCGCAGGAGGCGCGCCTCCTTTCGCCGGAGGAGCTCGACCTCCGTGCCAGGCTAAAACGTAGGGTGATCAGCTTGGCTGTGCTCCAGAGGGCCAGAAAGAGCCAATGCGCTCGGATTGCCAACCTTAAAGAGGGTGATGCAAACACAAAGTTCTTCCATTGTCGTATAATTGGCCGGAGAAGGAAGAACCATATTCACCGAATCAAACTCGCGAACGGATGGGTTACTGACCATGGGGAAAAAGAAAAGATCATCCATGACCACTTCTCTGTGTTCATGGGGAAGGGAGACACGAGCCATCTTGACTTCAATTGGGAGGAGCTCAGCGTGCAGCCGGTCGATCTGCACACCCTAGATGACACTATTACCGAAGAGGAGGTTTGGGAGGCCATTAAGGTGATGCCAAGTGACAAGGCGCCCGGCCCGGACGGGTTCACGGGCATCTTTTTCAAGAAATGTTGGGACGTCGTCAAAAACGATGTCATGAGAGTCATCCATCGTTTTGACTCCCTCCACACATCCAACCTTCAATGGTTGAACTCCGCCAACGTTGTGCTCTTGCCCAAAAAGGACGGTGCAGAGGGCATCTCTGACTATAGGCCCATAAGCCTCATTCATGCCATCGCCAAAATCATTGGTAAGGTGCTCTCTTTGCGGCTCGCCCCTCATATGGATGCCCTCATCTCCAACGCCCAAAGCGCCTTCATTAAAAAGAGAAGCATCCATGACAACTTCATGTATGTGCGGAACTTTGCTCGACGCCTTCACAAACGCAAGACCCCCGCCCTTCTTTTCAAGCTGGACATAAGGAAAGCCTTCGACTCTGTCAGATGGGAATTCATCCTCGACCTCTTGCAACGAAAGGGCTTCCCTTGCAAATTCCGGGATTGGATTGCCGCTCTACTTTGCACCTCTTCCTCACGTTTCCTGCTCAATGGTCTGCCTGGACCTCCCATCAAACATGGTCGCGGTTTTCGGCAAGGGGACTCGATCTCACCATTGCTATTCGTCCTTGCAATTGATCCTCTTCACCAAATACTTGACTTGGCAACGAGGAAGGGCCTCCTTCATAAGATTCGGGGACGAGGTGCTATGATGAGAACTTCCTTATACGCGGATGACGCGGCCATTTTTATGGCCCCTATCAAGAGTGACATCGACAACCTCTCCACCATTCTGAAGGGCTTCGGTGATGTCACAGGTCTATGCACCAACTTTCACAAAAGCTCGGTTGTGCCCATCCGGTGCTCCAATGTTGACTTGGATCATGTCCTCAGTGGCGTACCAGTGTCCAGAGCCACCTTCCCGATGAAATACCTGGGACTCCCACTCTCGGTCTGGCAGCTCAAGTATGTAGATTTCCAATACCTTGAGGACAAGGCGGCCGGCAAACTTGTCACCTGGGACGGGCAAAACATCACCACCATCGGGCGCAGGACACTTGTCAAATCAGTCATTGCCTCCCAGGCAGTGTATGCCATCACGCCCCTCATCGTGCCACCACGCTCTCTTCACAATATCAACAAATTGGAGAGGGCCTTTCTCTGGTCTGGTTCAGATAAGACGACCGGTGCCAAATGTAAAGTGAATTGGAAGGTGGTATGTCGCCCCAAGGAGTATGGAGGCCTTGGGGTTCTAGACACTGACAAGTTTGCTCGGGCCTTACGTCTTAGATGGCCTTGGTATGAATGGAAGGCACCGAACAAGCTTTGGGTGGGGCTTGGGAACCCCTGCACGGAGGACGACATGGACTTTTTCTATGCCTCAACGACCATCATTTTGGGCAATGGAGCCAAAACACCTTTTTGGGACTCCCCATGGCTTCTTGGGCGGAAACCGAAGGACATTGCTCCTTTAATATACGGTGCCTCCACGCGTAAGAATTGGAAAGTGCGTGAAGCCCTCGATGGAAATGCTTGGATTCTTAAGATCAACCATAACATCGTCGCTTCCATTGCCCACATCCGTCAGTTCTTCACGTTATGGATGTTGGTGCATGATCTACACCTGGACACACAAGCTGACGATGACATTATCTGGAAACATGCCAATAACGGGATCTACTCGGCGGCCACTGCATACAAGGCACAGTTCCTCGGCTTGACGCTATCGCCTATGGACTTCATGATCTGGAAGGCTTGGGCCCCTCCCAAGATCAAATTCTTTGCTTGGTTGGCTATCCAAGACCGGATTTGGACTGCCGACAGATTAGAGCGGCGCGGATGGGAAAACTGTGGACTTTGCCCACTCTGCAGGACTGAAGGCGAGACAGGCGCGCACCTCTTCTTCAAATGTCGCTACACTATTAGGCTATGGAACTCGGTCATCCTTGAATTCGGTCTTGCTCACATGGACACCTCTTCTTGGCACTTGGATGGATCCGTTTTGGAATGGTGGGACAAGCGAACCAGCTTGCAAAACCCAGATCGACGAGCCTTGGCCTCCCTTACAATGTTGGTTTCTTGGACAATCTGGAACGAGCGTAACGCTCGGGTCTTCCGTCGCAAGAGTGCACCACCACCGGTCCTCCTCCGGACTATCATCGATGACGCCAAGCTTTGGGTTCTTGCGGGTGCTAAAAAACTGGGGTCCATTATTGTACGCGAGTAGTTGCCATGCCGTGTGTGTGGTCACTTGTAATACCCTAAAACTCTTCTCTCTTATTTAATGAATGAGGCAAATCTTTTGCCTCCGTTTCAAAAAAAAAAAGTTCCCAACTTACAGGCCGTTGCAACAACACAAGGAAAATAGATTGGTGTCGGGAACTTGGAATACACCTGAACAGAAACATCATGATGCCTTTTAGAAGCACTTTTTTTTCCTTATCACATAGTACATGATAGAAATTAAAGTTCCTCTGAACCAGATTGACTTGGAAGCTTAAAGAGCACTGAGACTAGCCGACTAGCCACAATGAGAATAACTTCAGTAGTAATATCGAGTCCAACTCAGCAAATTTGCTTATGTGACAGTGAGTTAATGAGAAGAGAAATAGTTTGAGTAACTTAGCTAGTTAGATTACCCACAGTGAAAGTAACATAGGTGGTAACATCACACATCTCTAGACAAAATAGATGATGTAACGAGTAATTAATGAGGAAAAAGAGGCATGTGGTAATATAGCTAGTTACTTTAATATCACACATACCAAGACAAGATTAGTCTACGACCTAATAAATGAAGTGTTGCATGACACATATGTTATTCTTCACTATAGAGGTACTCCCTCCGGTCTTTTTTAGTTTGCATATTACATTTATCTGAAGTCAAGCCTCGTAAAGTTTGACCAATTTTATAAAAAAAACACTAACATTCACAATGTGAAATCAATACTAGTAAATGCGTCATGATTTAAAGTTTCATGTTGTATAACTTTATCATGGTAGATGTTGATATTTTTTCATATAAATATGGTCAAACTTTGTAGAGTTTGACTTCAGACAATTCTTATATGCAGAATAAAAAGGACCGGGGGGAGTAGTAACATTAGACTAGTAGTAACATATGCATGTTATTAGTCTAAGTTACTACTCCTTATGACTAGTATTACTGTAACATCACATGTCCCAATGCAATATGAGTCTATAACCTAATAAATGAAGCTTTACATGACACCACGCTTGTGTTACTACCCACTATGAAGGTAGTAACATAGTCTAGGGATGTACTTGTTATCGCAAATGAATAAAGTTTTTATGTTTCTTTAAAAAAAACATAGTCTAGGGATATGCGTATGCGGATATTGTCTTTGGAGGCCGAGCTCCATGGAGCTCGGTTTTGAAAAATTTGAATTTTGTTGAATTTCATATTTTCTACATTTCAAAAAATTCTGAAAAAAAACACACATATATATGAAGGCCTAACACACACGTGTGTAAATTTTCAGGGCAAAATAAGTTGAAATGAGGGCTGTGCAAAAAAGACAAATCTGAGGCTTTTTAACACATGACACTATTCATCCTCCCGGACCAGGAATTTGTCTTTTTTGTATAGGTCACATTTCAACGTTTTTCATTCTGAAATTTTACACACATAGGCATAACATACTTGTTTACTTGCACAATTTTTTTCAGATTTTTTTGAAACCGAAAAGTTTGAATTTTGATTTGTTTTCAAAAAAAGGCCTCCATGGCTCCCGGAAGCCAAATGTCCGTTCTCTATGCGTATGTTACTAGTGTATGTTACTCTGTATGAGTAGTCAGTCAGACATGATAATGACAACTACTCTCTTTGTTCCATAATATAGTGCATATAGATTTTTGAAGAGTCAAACCGTTGTGAAGAAAAACATTTACATCTAGAATGCCAAACATATATCATTAGATTCATTATAAGATGTAATTTCATTTCTTTTTATGTATTTGGTATTTTCTATAAACTTGATTAGAGTTTGATTTGTCAAAAAAAAAACACAATACGCACTACATTATACTCCCTCCGTCCCAAAATTCGTGTCTTAGATTTGTCTGAATATGGATGTATCTAATACTAAAACGTGACTTGACACATCCGTATTTAGACAAATCTAAGACAAGAATTTTGGAACAGAGGGAGTAGAACGGAGAAATATTCCAGTATATAGGGAAACAACTGAAATCAGCCAACCGGCCTCAGGCCATGCGCCCGTCGCACACGCTGGCAACATGCGTCCCACGTTGGCCCCGTTGTTGAAGCGGTAGCGTTCCAACCTAATCCAACTGCGAAGTGACCTTCTTCACAAGTTTCTCTCCAATGCCTCTCCCCCTTCTCCATCTCTCTCTGGCGACAAAGCTCACTTCCCCTCCATTCCGCTCGTTTGAGTAGCGCAGCAAGGTTTTTGTGTGCGCCACAGGGTTGCGAGCAGTTGCGTTGCCGCAATCTTCCCCGGCCATGGCTACTAGCTCGCCCTGACGATGCTACACGTGCTCCTGATTGCTGTCGACCTCACGACCACGCCGCAGCCCCTCCCTCTCCTCACCACTGTTGTGACTAGCTGACGGCGAAGCTGGGACCGGCACCCAACAACGTTACCACTGGCAGATGTGGATGCTAGGACCGTGTCTCTGCGATGATGGAACTTGCAACAGGGAGTACTGCGACCAGCAGCACGGGATGCTGGAATCAGCAGCGGGCGTGTTGCGACCGTGATAAACATGTTACGACCGGTAGATGTGGATGCTAGGACCGTGTCTCTGCGATGCTGGAACTTGCAACAGAGAGTACTGCGACCGGCAGCACGGGATGTTGGAACCAGCAGCGGGGCGTGCTGCAACCGGAACAAACATGTGCTGGAATCGGCAGACTATACCGCGTGCTGGAAGCTAGAACCCTAGGTCAGCAATGCTGGAACCCTAGGTCATCGATGTTGGAACATAGGCCAGGGAAGCTGGAAACCCGGGCCACTGATGTTGGAAGCCATATCAACGAATCTAAAACACACAAGCCGACGATGGTGCAAACTCGACGCCGGTGCTGCAAACCGGCCACCATGATGCTGCAAACCAGCCGCCACAAAGCGATGCTGGAGTCCCATGGGCTCACCTCCAAGGACGAGCCACACAAGGCCACGACCATAGTGCTTCAGAGAGGGGCGAGCAGCACCGTCAACAAGCATCTACTACACGGCAGGAGGCATGTCCTCGCTCGTGGGCCATGTGTTGTAGAGAGGTGGATGAGGAGGAACGAGCGATCCTAGGCGTTGATGTGCTTTTGATCTGACAGCTCGCCCACCGATCTGCACTTGACCGGCGCAGAGGGATGCCCCAGAGTATATAACAGCTCAACGGTATGAGTTCCAGAAACTAGTACTATACATTACACATACAGAACACAGCGGAAGCACTGCTACGCGTCATCGCCGAGATCAGTGTTCTTAGCCTAGGATATTAGACATTGAGTAACATGCTTCCGAGACACCTAACACACAAGTCAAGCCAAAATAAAATAAAAATAAGCATCACATGGAAATTTCGCCAGCCCATAACAACACTGCAACGTAATGATGAACTTCTCACCACCTAACATCACCATTACCGGCACATGACTTAGAACCTCCCTTCAAACTCAAAACTAGTTTTCGGGACCATCAGACTGAATCCATGCTTAAATTATAAACCTACCTGCTTACCAGGCACCTTCCAGAACGAGAACGCCACCAGAAGTGGAAGATATCATGTACAGTAATAAAGAAGCATACACATCGCATCATCTCAGCAACCACTGCCCACTGTTAGTTTCTGGATAGAAATCCCAGAAAAATAGCCGTCACACTCGGTTTCCTAGTCGAGTGACCTTCATGCTTGGGCATTTGAGTTGCACGGTTTGGAACTCGAACGATTCTTGACAAGTGGAACCAACGATTGGACGACATCGGCCATCAGTGGCCTATAGTCAGCCTCCGGTTGAACGCACATGGCAGCGATAGCAGCCACTTGAACAGCATCTTTCAATGAATATTGACCTTCCAGTGATGGATCCAGGATCTGCACAACCTTTTCTCGATCAGTGAGCATAGGTAATGCCTGCATCAATGCAACAAGTGAAGGGTTAGGTGTATGCAAAGTTCAGACATGGAGAAAAAAATTCATGAAACCATGACCTTTTACTACCAAGAACAATAATAGGAAGATGGATCCAAATTAAGACAAGTGATGTCGTGACTAACAAGCACATGAAAATCATAGCGCAGATGAAATTACATAATCAGAGTGCATGTACATTGTTAGAGTACGTAATAGGCCTGATGGGCCTGGGCTGGCGGTATAGCCCGTTAGTCTTAGGGTTAATTACAGATAAGGGTCGCTTGCTTAGGGGTCAAGTAAGCCTTGCTGGGGAGTCAAGTAAACCTCTCTATATAAGGGGAGGAGATGTATCAATTTAATCAAGCAAGAATTAAGAAGGAAACCCCTTTCCTCTTGCCCGGTCGTGGGCAAAAGGGCCCCCGGCCGGCCCTCTCGCGCCCTCCTTCTAGCAGCCACATAACAATCTGGTATCAGCTTTCCCGGATTCGATCATGTCCAGCCCTCCACCGAGTTCTTCCCACCCGCCGCCGCCGCACACCTACCCACCGCCACCAGCGTCTTCATCGGCGCTGCTGCCCCATACAGCAGGCGCGCCGGCATTGGGCGTGCTGGCGTCCTCAGGGGCGATTGCGCCATCTGCCCCGGCGCCGTCCGCCCTCGTCCTCACCCCGGAGCAGATGACAGCCACAATCCTGGAATTACGGCAGGCCGTGGCGGGCATCAGGGCCTTCCTCGTCGGGCCCTATGCGCCCCAGCCGCATCCCCAGCAGCCACCTCCTCCGCCGCCACACCAACAGCAGCTACCCCCGCCGCCGCCGCCCTCGGACGCGACCACGGCGCCGGTCATCTCGTACTAGTATGGGATGCCCTACAACGGGACTGCGACGACCTCATTCCCATCAGCGCCGCCGCCGTCCCAGGGCGTCCCCATCCAGCCGTCCACTCTTCTCTGTGCGGCGCCAACCAACAGCCATCTGGCGGGAAGAAGGCATGGTGTCACCGACAGGAGCGCACCGTGTAGCACCACTGCATTCCGCCGCCGGCCGCCGCGAGGGCGCCTCTGTTGGTCGCTCTTGCGACCACTTACAGGTGGCCATACACATGCACTCCTTTTGTCCAGATGGTGTCCATGGGATCCAGGTAGCTGTACACGTGCACGTCTGACGTGCAGATGGTGTCCACTTTATGTTCAAGGGTCCAAAATAAAGCGTCCCAGTCCATTTCAGGTTGAGAGTAATAAAACAAGCCGAGATGTAAAAAGCTTGTTTTTAGGTGTTAGGTTTGTGTTGCGCCGAGTCATGGTTATAAGTTGGTTAGGTTGCAGCTCGAGGACAAACTGCATGTCCAGGTGGGGTGTAGTGTTAGAGTACGTAATGGGCCTAATGGGCCTGGGCTGGCGGTATAGCCCGTTAGTCTTAGGGTTAATTAGAGATAAGGGTCGCTTGCTTAGGGGTCAAGTAAGCCTTGCTGGGGAGTCAAGTAAACCTCTCTATATAAGGGGAGGAGATGTATCAATACGTACTCTAACATACATATTTTTAGAGGAAGGCACTTTTATTTATGTAGACTATGGTATCTATAGTTCTATACATTATTCAATTAATGTTATGCTTCAAAATTGCAGAAACAAAATAGAAATAAAGGCCACAACTATCTGAAACTCAATTTTTCAGCTTATGTTATGCTTAGTTGCTTACCCAGTTAACTAGAACACCTTCCCCAGGAGGCCTCTTCATATCAACTGGTACCCTGCCAGTAAGCAATTCCAGAAGCACAACCCCGTAACTGTATACATCTGATTTGGTTGTCAAATGCCCAGTTAATGCATATCTACAGATTTCCAGCAGGTGCACAGTATTAGACATAATAGTCGGATTGCACATGTCAGTACCAAATTTAAGTTCCTGCACGATGGACTTTGCATGCTCAGGAGAAAAAAAAGTTAACATAAGGACTGCAAATCAAAGTTATTTCTTTTCCGAAGCAAATCAAAGGTATATCTAGTCTTACTCTGGTGCGACATAGCCCTGCGTGCCTAAAACTCGAGTTGACACATGACCACCAGCTCTATCAGATCCAAGCTTGGCCAAACCGAAGTCTGAGACTCTTGCATGGAAGTCCTTGTCCAAGAGAATGTTGCTGCTCTTGAAGTCCCTGTGTATAACAGGTGGAGTAACGCGCTCGTGGAGATACTCCAGACCTTTTGCTGCTTCAAGAGCTATTCTCATTCGTGTCGGCCAGTCCAATTTTGAGATGCCACCACAGGAACCTACATTGATAGCTTTAACATTGTCAATCGACGATAACAACAGGCTTAAGGAATAGTGCCGATTAATACTTATCCATTACACTAACATTTCCATATCAATCTTAAAAAATGGCATTTCAGAAACTGCCAACTAGACGCATGCATAAAAGAGTGCCAACGCATACTAACAAAGCAAGAGCGTACGATATAGAGAAAAAGCCCCCTATGCCACAAATAACTCTCAAGCTCCTGATTACCAATGAACAAGTCCTTTGTTCCTTCCAAGCCACCAGTTTTCATTTCATTCATCACTTCTATTCTATGACATCTATCTGACCATTACGACCTTGAGTTATAGGGTGTATAAATAAGTACCATCGCACAGGGGTAACATGGTGACCATTGCTGGCATTGAGGGAAGAAAATATAAATCTGGCGGCAAGGAAGGAACAGGAAAGTATTCAGTGGCAAAGGGACTGGTGCATCTGTGTGTGTAACTGGTAGTACATATCGCCTTGCACATTTCTAAATTATAATATCAAGAATTATCCTAAGTTGATAACACGCCATATATAGACTTACAAATATCTTTTGAAAATGCTAATTTACCTTCAAAAGGCACCTCGACAAAGTCCATATACAAAATGCTAAATGATTTGATGACCAAACTGGAAAGCTCATTTGACAGAATGGCATCAGTCCCAGACCAAACACAAGATAAACAACTTCACAATTTTCTAAGAAATGGTTTTTTTATTCAGGACACGGTCCATTCTTTCCTGATTAAAGATGCAAGCTAAACGATAGGACAAGCAAGTTCTTATCTTGAAGAAAGAAGTTGGCCTTGAAACCTATTTGTTTTACTAGTAGTTCCTACTCTCTTCTACTACTAATAAATAAACTGACACCAGCAGACGGTAAGCATGTTTTCTTTCACAAAGATACGAAGCCAATAGCATTGATATTAGATACTACACTTAAATCTCATCTTGTAACATGTAAATGGCTCCAATTTAGTTAAGAAGCTGCATGAATAATTTCTGGGGGGTATAGGACCTCATGAATAAATGCTATATGTGCACTACAGAAGGCGTGACACTACTAACATTGTACCTATACTCAAATTCGTGAGGTACCTACTAACCTTGCTGAGATCCATTACATTTACCAATTAATCAACAACCTAGAGACAGAAACAACGATTAATTGGTTGGAGCATCAAATGACAGCATGTATGTTGGGAACTAGATATACCCTTGTGCTTATTCTTCATAGTTTGAAAATACGATTGATTTTATTTCAGACTGAAACTTTGAAGTAGATGATTATCTAGGTTTGACAGTTAGGTATTATGAACTGTTTGGTTTGAGGAACCGGATGGTGAATTGATCACGCAATCCTAGGTGTCCTTTGAGTAAATGGATATTCAAGTTGTTAACCGAGGACAGTGTTTGGCAATCGCTATTGCGAAACAAATATTTGGGACACAAACAACTTACTTCGGTTGAAGCCAAGCCAACGGACTCACACTTCTGTAAGAGTCTAATGAAGGTGAAGAAAGTTTTTTCGCAATTTGCATCGTTTAAGGTAGAGAATGGGGAACCGGTGCGTTTATGGGAACATAAATGGATTGGGGACATGCCCTTATCAGCTATGTACCCAAGATTGTTTAATATTGTCCGTCATAAGGATGCCACGGTAGACGCTGTTTTCAGGGTGTAGAATACTTTGGTTGATTTTCGACATGCACTGCTTGGACAGCATTTAATTGATTGGAATGAGATCGTCCTCAAAGTAGTGGAGCTTCAATAACTCAGGGACAAGACTTGTTTAGGTAGGATCTTCAGACCACAGAAGTGTTTTCTGTTTACTCCATGTATTCGGCTTTAATGGATAAGCGAGTCAGATTTAGAACAAAATGGTTATGGCGTCTCAAAAAAAAGGGCAACCTGGTGCATGTAGCTCCCGCTTGCGCAGGGTCCAGGGAAGGGTCCGACCACTTTGGGTCTATTATGGCGTCTCAAACTTCCTCTTAAAATTAAACTGTTCCTATTGTATTTATGCACGAGCATAGTCCTTACTAAGGACAGTTTAATAAAGCGTGAGTGGCAGGCGGACACACATTGTAGTTTTTGCAGGAAACTATCCAACACCTTTTCTTTGATTGTGTGTTGGCTAGTGCAGCGTGTTGTCCTGTATAACATCACACCACCTTGTGGTTTTCTCGTATTTTTAAGTCATGGTTGCCGCTGGGGGGTTGATAAGTCATGAAAACCACTCATTTTTGTGGGGGCAGCAGCGTTATTTTGGTCCGTTTGGCTATGCAGGAATGATGTTCTTTTTGACAAAAAGAAAGTTCTCTTACATGCAGGTGCTACTCTCATGCACCAATTGGTTGAGGTCATGGGCATTATTACAAAAGGAGCAGTGCAAGGATTTGATGGAGGTTGGCGCCAAGTGGCTCGAACGGATTACCACAGAATTTATGTCCCGATTTGGTTGACGTATCAGTGACAGATTTCTTAGTTTATAGAGTAGTCTTGCTTGGTGAGTTATTATCTGGATCTTTTGGTCTCTCCCTTTTTGGTTGAGATCATTTTTCTTGATGTAATAAACATTTTAATAAGTTTGACTGCATGCAATATTTGGCTGATGCAGAATCCGGGGGTAATAAACGCTTCCATCGTCTTCTAAAAAAAATCCTAGCCCCTTGTTTGGCTTGAGGAATGGAATGGTTGGTCCATCCATTACCGCATCTAACTACATAGATTTAGTTATAAATGTGTGATTAGGTCATGCCACCAATTTCGAGGGACCAACCATGATAGACCAACCAACCCATGATGGATTGGTGTTCCTGAAAACCAAATAGCCCCGATAATGTACCAACTCTATTCCTCACGAAGGCTCGGTGAAGCTGTAAACAATTTATCCCACATTAGCATTATGTGAAAAATGCTTTCCATGATCTTTACCACACATTCAAGCATCAAACGATTACAATGATACTAAAGGAGTATTGCCATAACCTCTAGTCATAATATTAATAGAAAAAGAATCTACTTTACAACCTCCAACTCTTACTGAAGTTCACTTTACAACCTTAAACTCCTAAATTGTTTTTTTAACCTCTAAGGATGAAATCTGTGAACTCTACAACCTCGGTCCCGACTCAGGTGGTTTCATGCTGACTTAGATGCCATGTGGAGTACAACCTGGACTACTTATCCACACCAGTGGACTACCGTATCAGAAAATTGCATTAAATACCTAATTTTCTCTAAATAGCAGCCTGAATAGCAAGGTGAGAAGTTCTTTATGCAGTTGGCTGACATGGCAGTCTGATGACGTGGATGAGTTGTCCAGGTTGTTCATTACGTGGCATCATATTAAGGCGAAACCACCTGAGACTGGACCGAGGTTGTAAAGGAATAGATTTGGTAGTTGGAGGTTAAAAATAATCCATTTAAGAGTTGAAGGTAATAATGTGAATTTCGGCAAGAGTTGAAGGTTGTAAAGCGGACTATTTACATAAAAATATTTAACTTCCCATAACATTTGTCAAATGCTGAAAAGTCATATAAATCAAACTTAGACAATTCACCTTTTGTTGTTTAATGCTAACTTCCCCTCCTTGTAGTCACATATAATCTTTGCTTCTACAGGAAGACAAAATCATTATGTCTATTTCTTTCCTCCTCCAACTAGTACACGGGGTTCTGGACATGCATCACAACAAAACATTCCCAACCTAATACTGCCAGTATTAATCCTTAAACCAATGAACTCAGTTAGGTCCCTACATGTACTAGCTCTGGAATTCGAAGATTATGCCAACCAAAGCCAATGCAAACTAACACTAGGGATATAGATCCCGCCCAAATAAGACCCATACTCTGTTGTTTCAATGTTGTGGGACTTGAGTAACAATGTCAAACACCTTTCATGATCTGTGCACATCAAATGGACAAGCACATACATATTTGATGTAATAAAGATGGCCATACCTCCATTTGGGTAAAGATGCTCCTGGAGACACCCATTAGCCATGAACTCATACACCAGTAGCCGGTGTCCACCCTCTGAGCAATGGCCAATCAAGCCTAACAAATAAGATGATCGAAGCCGACTCAACAGCTCAACCTACATAAAGATCGCATCAGAATAAACATCACCAAATTTCCAAATTTACCAGCCACACAACTAATTAATTGATAAGGATTTAGTAAGTCAAATAGCACCAACCTCTAGCTAAAATTCAAAATATTACAACCTGACATATAGTCAAGACTACAAGCAGTCAAGCCTTCGGACTAAGCTCTTCATATATCTGGTTTGATTCCGTAAACAAAATCGATTTGAAGCCAATACAACTAAGAAACCAAGAAATAGCTGAAAGCCTGAAAGCTTCCAGAAAAATGACACCAAAAATCTCCAACAATCTAGCTGAACTAAAAAACATATGTCCTTCACCACCATATGATTCATAAATGTCTTTCACAAAGGGCAAGCCAAAATAAACCCCACAGCGACCCCATTTCCGCTCAGCAAACACCGTGATTTCTCCATTCAGGCCGCACAAACTTGGCCGTGGTGGAATGGCCACTTGAAGAACCAGCATTTACCATTAGAACTAGGTACCCGAAATGCACAATTCGTACCACTACAACGTTACGGCCCAGACCAGCTCACCTCCATCTCAAACTCCTCCTCGCCCTGCTTCCCGGGGCGGTCCATGAGCTTGACCGCGACCTTCCTCCCGTCGGGGAGCAGCCCGCGGTAGACGGCCCCGAAGCTCCCCTGCCCCACCATATGCGCCCGCCCGAAGCCGCCCGTCGCCGCGTGCAGTTGCCTGTAGCCAAACACCTGCACGCCCCTCTCGGCGCCGACCACCAGCGCCCCAGCCGCGGCCCCATCGCTGGCGGAGTTGCTGGACGGGCTCTCCTTCCCCTGCGTGGGGATCACGGGAGCCGGCAGGGGCAGCGGGGGAGGGGAGGAGGAGCGCTTGGGGAGTGGGTGCGAGTTGAGGCGGCGGGAGACCTTGCGGGTGATGTAGCAGTAGTAAGCAAAGGCGGCGATGAGAGAGAGGAGCGAGAGCGCAGCGAGGGAGACGATGACAATGAGCGCCACCGACTCCTCGCGCTTGTAATCGTCGCCGCCGCTCGACATTGGCGCGGGGGCTCGGCGGAAGGAACCCTAGGTCTGAGGGGTTGGGGAGAAGGGGAGTGGTGATTTGGGGAGGTCGACGAGGGTTTTGGGGGGTTTGGGAGTGGCGGAGCGGAATGGAGACTGTGGAGTGGAGCTGCGTGGCGGCGGAAAGCTCTCCTTTTCTTTATGCGCGGAAACCGAGGTTCGAGACAGTGGGAAATGGTGGGGCCATATAGCCAGTGAGAGAGGGCTCTCCTTACCTATTTTTTTTAGAAAGGAGGCGCTTGCCCGGCCTTAGAATGAGGCTCTTAGGCTGGTCATAATGGGAGTAACATAGGTAGTAACATAGATGCCATATAAGCAAAAATGATGATGTGGCAAGTAGTTAATGAGGAAAGAGGCAAATAGAGTAACATAATATGTTACCATCACATAGCGGTTTCCAATGCATAATGAGTCTACAAAGTAATAAATGAAGGCAACTATGTTACCACACCTATGACACTACCCACTATGAAGGTAGTAACATAGATTAGTAACATATGTATGTTACTAGTCTAAGTTACTCCCCACTATGACCAGCCTTACGAATCCGACAATCCCGCCCAGCAGTCATGATCCAAACCAACTACAAAGCGAAACAAAAACGTGCCAGAACAAGAATAAAAGGGGTGCAAGCTCGTAGGCGGATACATAGCGGTGCGGCGCTAGTAAAGGCTAAGTGTCCATGATAGCTCTCGAGGTAGCAGAGGCGCCATGTAGATGTCTGGCATCTGCGCCTTATAATGCGCGTCCTTCTGACGAGATCCTCCACGAGTCCTTTGTCCCATCGCTTTGCCAGAAGCTTTCATTGTTGCAGGAAAGACACCATTTTATATAACATATCAGCTGGATGTCTGATAAAAACTCCCTCTATTAGCGCTTTATTTCGAGTGGTCCAAAGAAACCATGCTAGGGCCCCAAATCCTAGCCATGTCATCCTTTTATCCCTCCCACAAGTGGCGGCCGCAAGCCGGTAAAAATCTGAGAACCCACTTGGTTCCACGTGGAACTAGTTGTCGATCGGACTGCACTCCACATAAGTCTAACCATAATACAACGGAACAGGATATGATCCCGATCTTCACTTTCGCCACACCACACACGTCTGCCATCTCCCGGGCCATGTCATTTTTGGATCTGATCCCCGCTTGCGATTCTGTTACGGGCGACTTGCCATAAGAAGATCTTGATTTTGGATGGCAATCGCGCTCCCCACAACCCCTACAAGTCGCATGGGGTTGCGGTTTTCAAAATCTCCTTGTATAATGATCCTGTGAAGAATTGACCGGACGACTCAAGTCACCAAACGACCTCATCCTTTCTGTGACTCAAGTTATACCCTCTCAGCTTATTCCGTAGCTCTTCCCACTCGGGATTCTCTGCGTTTCCTAATGGACGCCGAAAACGTGGAGACCACTGTCCCTGCCGCCAACACTGTGCCACTTTTGCATTTTGGTTTTCCGCAATCACAAATAGGGCCGGAAAACCGTCCGGCAGCCGTCTATCCTCGCACCAAATGTCCAACCAGAAGCACCTAGCCTTGCCATTGTGCATATTAATCTTAGTTCCAAGCCTAAGAAGAGGCTGGACTTTCTTAACATCCCTCGCGGATTGTGACATTTTAGCATTTCTCCCAAATTCCACCCCTCCTTCCTCCAGGTACTTTCGTCTGAATATATCTAACCAAAGGCCACCCCGGCCGGTTAGAATTTTCCATGTCCACTTAGTCATGAGACACCAGTTCATTATTTTGGAGTTGATCACCCCAATCCCACCTCTCTCCTTAGGCTCACAGATGTTCTCCCAACTAACCATATGGTTCCTCTGTTTCCCATTCTCTTTTGCCCAGAAAAAGCGGGATCGAACTATATTTAGTTTCGCATGGATTCCGTCCTGGAGGAGGTAGAAACCCATAACAAACATTGGGATGTTTGTTAGGCAGTCCTTTATTAGTACCAAGCGCCCACCAGAGGCTAGAAAACTTGCCTTGCCACAGCTCCACTCGCGTCGCTGTTTTGTCTACTACCGGTTGTAATTCCTCCATGGTTAAGGCTCTCGCGGATACAGGCATACCCAGGCACTTCATCGGGATGGATCCCAATTCGCAATTCATCATGTGGGCAGCCCGAAGCTGCGACTCTAGATCTCCCCCCGTTATTATCGCCTCACTTTTTCTCAAAGTTGATTTTTAAACCTGACATCCCCTCAAAACACATCAGGATAAATTTGAGATTCACTATCTCCCTTTCCGAGTTCTTGATGAATATTAACGTGTCATCCGCATATTGGAGTGCGTTATCCCTCCCAAAATTATGTTTGCCGCCACCCCTGTAATATGACTTGCCGCCTTGGCATGGTGAAGAATGGATGCCAGCGCATTCGCCAATAAATTAAATAAAAGTGGGGATATCGGGTCACCTTGCCGTACCCCCTGCTTATTCCTACAGAATGGGTCTATCTCCCCATTGATATTGTCTGTCGTCTGACCCCCTTGAATTAATTGTCGCATCCAGCTAATCCAAAGGGGGTCAAAACCCTTCGCTCTCATCACCTCCTCTATAAAATCCCATCTTACTCTATCATATGCCTTCTCAAAGTCAATCTTAAGGATGAACACCTCTTCCTTAGTAGATTTGATTTCATGTAGGACCTCATGAAGTACCGCAATGCCGTCCAAAATGCTCCTCCCACGGATGAAGACAGTTTGATTTTGATCAATGATCTTGTTAGCCAGGGGAGACAGACGCATCGCCCCTTTGCGAGAAGGCGAAAGCTCACATTGATTAGGGTGATCGGCCGGAATTGATGAATATTGTCCGCGCCCTGGACTTTTGGCAAGAGGGCCAACACCTAGTCGCTTCACATCAATCAAACCACGAGTGAAATCATGAACTATTTGGAAGAATTGGGGACCCACTAAGTTCCAAAACTTCTTATAGAACGATACCGGAAAACCATCGGGTCCGGGTGCCGTGTCACCCTTCATTGCTTTTAGATTCGCCGTTATTTTAGATAGCAAAAAAGGGTCGATTAGTTCCAAATTGTCCTGCCTGGACACCCTCCCCTCAGGTCCCCGGCCCATCGCAACTACGCTACCCGATGTGGATCCCAGCAACTGCCTATAGAACCCGTCTATATGCGTCCTAAGCTCCTCCTCTCCAACAAATGTTCTGTCTCCCTCTCGAAGGCACCTAATCGTGCGTCGCCTACGGCGCCCATTGGCGATCGCATGAAAATAATCTGTGCTAGCATCACCTTTATCCACCTTTGTTATCCTCTCTACTTCCAATACATCTCTTGCAGCCCACACGGAGCGGGTGGCACCCGGGCGACCAGTTCAGCAAAGCTGAACCCGAAGGATGGGCCAAGGGGACGGCCCGCAAGGCCCACCACGACCTCCTCGGCCCCAATGTCAGGCCCACCACGCTCCCCCGCAGGCCCACCCAAAAGAGGGAGTGGGGGAAAATTCTTCTCCGAGAACTCCGGCGGCGCCGGCGGCGAGGCCGAACCACCTCCCTCCCTGAACTTCGGCGCACCTTGATCCCCAAACACCACCCCCTCCCTGAGATCTGCCAGGGCTGGGGCACCCTGATCCGCCCGCATCCCGCGACCCCTGACCACGCCTGGAGACATCGGCGACCACGAGATCCCCCCACCTCTCGCCGCCCGGCCACGCAACCAGCTTGAGTGGCAGAACTTAAGGCGCCGTACCTGTTTCCACCCCTCCGATACAGCCTCACGCCCCTTCGGAGTTCTCCTCTCCCGGCACTCCCTACCTGCTGCCTGCAGCGCGGATCCTCCTGTCGGCTCCCCCGACTCGGGCACCCCGCCTCCGCCTTCCTCTGGCCCGGAGATAGCCCCCCTGGCTGCCGAAGACGCAAGATGCTGGCGCCCATGGCGGCACCGTGTGACCGAACGTAGACCTCCATCGTCACTCCCCTCGCCATCAGATTCCTCTCTGATCACCCAAAAGCGCCCACCTTCCCACGCCCCCCATGGTCGCGGGGCCGCATCCCCGGCGCGGCGGCCACTCCACCCCGCAAGTCGACCGCCGGGTTCGGCCTTCCAACAGCGGACATGGCCAGTGCGGGCGCATCGCAGGAGCTCGCATCTCCAACGGTCATATCGCACTCTTCACCTGCCTGTGTCGTATCTCTCCCAACTCCATGCTTTTGCTAGCACCTGATAAATGGCCGACCCTCGCTATATTTATTTTTCGAGGGAAAACAAGGACTTTTAAAAAAATTGAAACAAAGGGAAAACATGGGATTATATGCATCAGTCTATAATTTTTTATTGTTTCATGCTATTATCATACCACTTTTACATATTTCTTGGCAACAATTTATTTTATTTCTATTTGTACTAACCTATTTAACCCAATACTAAAGGCCAGTTCCCGTTTTCTATTGTTTTGGGGTTTTTAGGTAAAACTTCACGGAGCCGTAATGACTTGAAAATTTATGTGGATTTTTTATTGAATATACCTAAATGTATGCCGCAAGAATCAAAGCAAGATGGGCCTCACAAGACACTAGGGCATGCCTACCCCCCAGGGCGTGGGGAGCTGGCTTGTGGCTCAACCGTAAGTCAGTTGGAGCTCTCATTCGGCCGCAAGAAAGCTAATTATGATTAAAAATAGTGTGAAAATTTCAGCCTGATCGGAGTTACGAAACTTTGGCTATTTAAGAAATAGTGTTCGACCAAAAAATGGAACTGAATGCAGGAAGAAATCCTAGAGAAAAGAGGAGGAGAGATCCAATCTCGGAGCAGCTCCCGCCCTTCGAGGGACATGGAGGCCAAGGACCAGAGCAGGAACCCTTCTCTCATCTAGGGGAGTCCAAGCAAGAAGAAGGAGGAGTGGGCCTCTCCCCCTCCCCTCTCTCCCGGTGGCGTTGGAGGGCTGCCCGGGGAACCATCGTGGCGGCGATCTACTCCAACAACTTCGCGGCCGTTATCAACAACTTTCTTCCTCTCTG